TTTTTATTTCGCCTTCACTTGTCCTTAAATGACCTTAGCTATCAATAGAATGCTTAATCTGATAAAAATAAAAATTACAACCAACATCAAATCTGATGAACAATTATGCTTTACAAATCTGTAAAAGAAGTTGTCTTAACTTCTAACACATATGACCGCAGTGACCTTGAAAGAAGATCATTGTCATTCATTTGAACAAAGCTGAGAGCTATATATTCATCCTTGCAAAGTACAGTTCAAACATACCAGGTCTTACAGCTCTGTAGATGTCTGAGGAAAATTGATGCCATAAGGATGGGGGACACTGTGCTACCACATAGCTTAAGCTTGTGAGCACTTTGAACCAGATAAAAGATATTTAGAAACTTAAACAGATCGAACACCATTTTTTGCTACATTTTTGATGAAAACACAAAAAACAAGACTCAATAATACACAAATTGACATGTGACTGGTGTAGACTTTCCCTGTTCTGATGCAATATTTCCACCCAAGGTGTTAATCCAACCATAACTGACACTAATTTCCTGTGGGATGTAAATCAATAAGTAAAACAAACACCTTATGTAGTTATTAGATTCACCGGACTCTTTATCTATATGCATGACACAAAGCTGTACCTGTGCATACTGCTGCACTGAAGAATGTGCATGTCTGTGTCTGTGCATACATGCACATGATTCTGTATAAATACACAGGTAAACAACATCACAACACAATCATATAACAGGCCATTTTATTCAACATTCCAAGTAACAAGTTTTATTTTACACCAACACACTTGTTTTAAATTTTTGATGATAGAGTAGATTGCAGTGAACACCTGAATAAACAGTCAACAAGTGTTATGTCTGTCCTTGAAAACAGTATACTGAGCCTGCAATATAAAATACATATGTGGTACAGTTATCCCTAAAGGAAGAAAATGTAAAAGATTCCAAACCTAAAGTGAGGTTTGCATGAAGCTTACGTTTCCAAAAGATCAGAGGTATAAACACTTGTCCTATCTGTGACTGTGAGTGTAGACTGGCACTTGTCCTATCTGACTGTGAGTGTAGACTGGCACTTGTCCTATCTGACTGTGATTGTAGACTGAAATGTGTCCTACCTCACTGTGAGTGTAGACTGGCACTTGTCCTATCTGACTGTGATTGTAGACTGACACTTGTCCTATCTGACTGTGATTGTAGACTGAAATGTGTCCTACCTCACTGTGATTGTAGACTGGCACTTGTCCTATCTGACTGTGAGTGTAGACTGACACTTGTCCTATCTGACTGTGATTGTAGACTGATACTTGTCCTATCTGACTGTGATTGTAGACTGATACTTGTCCTATCTGACTGTGATTGTAGACTGATACTTGTCCTATTTGACTGTGATTGTAGACGCCACTTGTCCTATCTGACTGTGATTGTAGACGACACTTGTCCTATCTGACTGTGATTGTGGCTGACACTTGTCCTATCTGACCCTGTGATTGTAGACTGACACTTGTCCTATCTGACTGTGATTGTAGACTGAAATGTATCCTACCTCACTGTGAGTGTAGACTGGCACTTGTCCTATCTGACTGTGAGTGTAGACTGACACTTGTCCTATCTGACTGTGATTGTAGACTGACATTTGTCCTATCTGACTGTGATTGTAGACTGACACTTGTCCTATCTGACTGTGATTGTAACCTGACACTTGTCCTATCTGACTGTGATTGTAGACGGATACTTGTCCTCTATGACACTTTAATTGTAGACTGACACTTGTCCTATCTGACTGTGATTGTAAACTGACACTTGTCCTATCTGACTGTGATTGTAGACTGACACTTGTCCTATCTGACCCTGTGATTGTAGACTGATACTTGTCCTATCTGACTGTGATTGTAGACAACACTTGTCCTATCTTACTGTGATTGTAGACTGACACTTGTCCTATCTCACTGTGATTGTAGACGACACTTGTCCTACCTGACTGTGATTGTAGACTGACAGTTGTCCTATCTGACTGTGATTGTAGACTGACACTTGTCCTATCTAACAATAATATGCCAAATTTCAGTCATTTGTTTTGTTATTATACTACAGGGTTGAAATTCTGTTGTCACATGAACTAATTTACAGTTATTTTAATATATATAAATGAAATACAGCAGTCCAAGTGTATGGTATGTTTACTATCGAAGATGATAAAATTTGAAAATGCAAATAACTTTTATTAAAATTGACAAGTAAGCACACTTAACCTGCTAAAGGATCCACAAAGCCCTGCTAAAGTTGCAACGGTTTTAAATCATTTTGTATATTATAGCTTAGTTTATATTCAACTGGACAAAATAATCTCTTCAAATACACGAACAAGGAAAGGGTAGAAGGCTGTCATAATGGTATATACACATTGAGAATTATTGATTTATTAAAAAACAATTTTTCTTGTAAATATTAAGGTTTGTGTATAGCTATAACCTATCTTAATCCTGTTATATATAAACCAGGCCCTTCAACAGGAATTCGGAAGGTTGCCAAATCCATAACCCTACTCCCAAAATTTCAACCAAGGGGAAACAACCCAAAAAACCTCTTTTAAACCACAATAAACTTTTCATGAGGTTGGTCTGCTAGATAACTAAACTGCTCTGTAGTGAAGCGGATGTAAAACTAATCAATCAATCAATTTCATGTGGTACATGTGTTAATTCAGATCTATATTGCATGATGCACCACTTGAACAACTGTAAACAAGATGACTTCCTAGCTTGTGCTAGCTTTGTTACATCCATTTGTCTCCATTCTTTTCAGTTTATCATGTGCAATTTCTTTTCGTGTTTGTTCATTCCTCTTTGTGTATCTTGTACATTGCTTGTTGTATAAGAATACACACCATACAAATACTGTATACTGCAACCAAATCACTGCTGCCATAGCAAATTATTTCAATTGAATATTATGTATACATAATGTTCCAAACTTCAACGTTATATCATAAAAGATACATGAACGAAAGCCAAAGTAGCCTTGCTCACCTTCCTGCTATTTCTGTTACATTTTAGTTGTCTTAGATTTCTTATTGACCCAAAAAATTACAAAAATGTACAATAACAACACAGTCAGGGAAATGAAGGAAATATTTGTACAAATTTTGGTTAAAATCAACCAGTGGAACTGGCGGACTAGTCAACAAGAGATTCCATCATTGTAAAATCTTCATCAGTTCTCTGTAAGTCTGTTATAGGTTTATCAACAGTGACACTATCAGGAGGTAATCAGCACTTTATACATGTACTGCTGTGTTTCACATTGACCTTTAGCTTTCAGAGAGACATTATGTGACCTACTGACAAGAATTGTTGTGATGCATAAAAATAAAAGCAACATTCCTGATTTCTGGCAGCCATTTTTTTTCTCTTCTGATCAAGCACTGTGATGCTAAACCTGAAGTATGTCATTGTGAATCTTAGGAACAGGAAGAACCAACTTAGTCCGAAAATGATCTGTACTTTGCTTTCTGAGAAATAGCAATATTTAACTTCAATGGTCAAATTCAAGATGTCTGCATGAGCTGGTTGTCCCTTTTTTTATTCAACTGAAAATGAAACATGCACAAGTAAGAACCAGCAGGAGCCTAGAGAGGAACTCAGTTACAGGTCCCGCCAGTACTTTCTGTAAACAGTAACAAACAGTCATGTATCTGGTTCTTCAAACCAATTTCAAAATCGAACACACAACTAAGGACCAAGAAATTAACAACTCCAGAATTTGAGAAAAATCAATTTAAAACTTTAAAATATAGCAAGAAAATGTTTTAACTTCAAAATCAAAGACATCTACCTAGCAACTATCTTGTTAACTGTCAAATTCTGTGATCTGGCCAGAGTTGCTCAAAGGTAAGAGTTAACCAGATGTGAGGGAAAATTCTAAAATTTGAATGCAACAAAATTAAGAACATGTAACATCATGCCACTGTTACAGATTTGTTAAAGACAGATAGGCTGATGTGCTTTGAGGATCTATTTGGCTGAGGAAGGCACTGTTTTTTGGTAGCAACAATAGGAATTTTTCACCAACCACTGGTTGAAGTTAACCAATGTTTGAGCAACGATCAGGGCCTGGTAGTTATCTTGCTCTACACACTCACCAATCAGTTTATACTTTAGCATACACTTGATCAACTTAAGACGAAGGAAACATCATAATATGAAATTTGAGAAAGGTCTGGACTTTCAGAGAAATAGTGGATGGAGGATGGTCTAAAGAATGTAAGATGAAAGGCGATTTTAACACAGCTTTACCATCTGAAAATGGTGAGCTAAAAAAAAGACCATCTTGGATTCTGAACCAGTTCGAAAAATAACAAGACTAGGATGTCAGAACCATTAGTTATTCATACATGTAGTTTATTAGAACTGACCCCTTTAATTTGAACTTAACTCAAGAAGAAAACATGCATTATACTTTGCCAATTGGAAGCTTTGACTGGCCAAGTCTGGTAAAAGTATAATTGTATATAATAATAATACCACATTGAATTCTGTTGACCAATTCAAAGGGATGTTCGGATTTCCATATCAAATGAAGCTAACATTTTTGTATTCATACTTATATATATAATTAAGGAAATAGCTTTTAAATATTAACTCATTTATTGGAATCTGCCCCTCTACCCCTTGGGTCACCATACCCTTTATTTGTACAACAATCATTTACCTAGAGATTCTTCATACCAAATATGTAATAAAAACATCTCGTCAGCTGTTAATGACTGTTTATAATTATATATAGTCATTCAAATGTTGATGACAGATGATGGACGTTTTGCATTCACATACAACACCTTTAGGCCAGGTGAGCTGAAAATAGATTTGGTCAGATTTTTCTGTACAAACTCACTGTCATTTTTTACAATAACTATATGTACAGTTATATATTAAAATTTACCAGTCTATGTAAAAGCAAATGACAAAAGATCATTCAGTAAATTTGCTGTCAATCAAATCAAGCTCTCACCTCTGTCTCCATTATATCTGTTGGTGCCGCTTGCAGTTCCCCCAGTGGTACCATGAACAATGGGATCAGACACTTTTCTCCCCTTGAACATGGCTACCTCTTTTTACAGCTACACTGTCATACGTCTAGATCTATAAAACAGAACAGACATTCAGGATGATAACATGTTGCACTATGCACATAGAGCAGTATATCATAGTGATGAAATCAGCGGTGAAGACTTTTTTTTTATTGTTGTCAAAAAGAGAGTCAACCCATCCATCCTAGATGGGTAGAAAATGAATGATATGGACAACTATCGTAGCAGGGGTGGACATACATGTCAACTAGCACTATGCCCAAATAAAGCCATAGATATTTACATCACTGCTAAAGAAAAGTTTCACTAACTACAAGATGTGTTTGACTAGTACAATTTTCTAAATTGAAATCGTTAACCTCTGAAGTGGTATAATTTTAGCATCTTAATAACTGGTCCCTGTGATTAGTACATGATGAATAGTAATCATTAACCATGGTCAGCTTTTCTAATTACAGTTAACTCCAATCAATTGTTGTCAGTATCAGTTGACAGGTATAGGGTTATGAAAAATGGTCATCACTAGTACTATAGAATTGACATTATAATTAGTGTACAGCCAGCTTCACGGTTGTAGTAGCCATGTTGATCAAGGGACAACCTAGCAAACCTGATCTATGAATGTAAACATGGCAATACAGAACATCAATGGTGTGCCCATTGATTACTTCTAGAACAAACAGCTACAGGGAACAAATTAAGTAAGTAAGATTAATAAGGTAAACAAATAACAAATGTTACAATATCTGTGTAGCCAAATTAAGTCACACAAGACCATGGACTAGGGTGCTTACAACGTACTCGTTTATCTCAAAGTAATCAAGTAAAAAACTCAAGTTGAATAAGACATGCATTTATTCAATTCTGTTACATAAACATTATCTAGTACAATTGATATATATGTATGGATTTAATGGATTTTGTTATTTGCAGTTGTTCTGTCTGTATGAATGCATGCCATGCTGAATACACATACTGGGAAGTGTAACCATTAGTGTCGACCAGGTATAGATCTTCAATACTACAGTAGTTATACGTCTCAATGACAATTGTAGGATATTGGTAATAATTACTCAATAGCAGTAATCCCTGATTATACAGTTGCCTTACCCCTACAAACCCTTCCACTCATTACATACCCAAACATATGACCAATATGCGATAGAAAATTTATCCTTGCCAAGGATAATCCTTGAGGAGGTAATGGTGCCTTGCATAGCCTCTGAAAACTGAATTTGGCCAGTCCTAATTTCCATTTTCTTTTAATATTAAATGTAATGACCCTGCTTCTTTTTTAAATTGATTATAATTGAAAATTGCTGTAAAAAAGCCTGTTTCTCGAAGCTTCCAGGATTTCACTGCCTGCTATATCATCCAAACGAAAAACGCATTCTGTAAACTGTTAACAATTTAATATAAGGCCTTAAAAACCTGTTTATTTCTGTTACGTACACGCAAAAACAACTAGGGTCAGTAGGTCAGGATTTTTTCTTCATTTTTCACCCCAACTAAAGTGATTTGTGAATGTAGACATTTATATCTTCTTCAATTCCACAGTCAGATCCATTTCAAAATTACACATGTGTTTGTTAACAAAACATATGTGTCCCTTATAAACCGATACTTTTTCTCCATTCATTCTCTTGCAAAATAAAGTTAAGCAATTAGAGTCAAATAACCATGAATCTACAATGTTCTTCAATATATCAGGTTATTGGAGAACTGCCTACTACTAAACTATACAAGAGATCCCAGAGGGATCTTGGCGCCCACCTTTGTACCATCTTCATTAGTTCTTTGTCAGTTCGATCTTTTCTCTTCTTTCCTCTAATCTGTTTGATCGAGTCGTGTTAACAGTAAGTGCACCTTGAGGTAACTTTTGATCTAAACTTAATACTGATGTGTATGAAAGCCAACCTTCAAAGTGAGTGTGTCATTTCACATATTTACTAGTACAGTACTTAATGTGAAAGAAATAGAATCGATCATTGCAATATGAGAAAGATCTGTTTAGTTCTTCTTTTAATCCATTTTGTTTTTATGATCAGTCTCAAAATATAACATACACAACGAGGGATCAAGGGGAACCTACATTTAAAATTTGAGAAAGATCCCTCCCGTACTTCCCGAGAAATAGCGATAACAAACTTTCACTATCAAAATCCAAGATGGCTGCCTGTCGGCCATGTTGTTTATCCGATCAGTCTCAAAAGTTGCCCTGCACAGCTAAGGACCAAGGGGAACCTGCATATAAAATTTGAGAAAGATCCCTCTGGTACTTCTTGAGAAATTCCGATAACAAGAATTGTTTACGGACGGACAACGGACGACGGACAACGGACGGACGCGGACCACGGAGGCAGGGTTATTTGAAAAGCCCACCATCAGATGATGGTGATCAATGGTGGGCTAAAAATGCATATATATATTTTAATGCAATTAAAAATATGCAAAAGTACCTTAATGGTTTAATATAGTTTCAACTAAAAAGTTTGCATTTATTTGACTTTTGACTTTGAGGTTAAGGTCTAATTACAGTGCACTTCATTTTATAGGTAGGTGATGCAGGTAAATTGCAAAGTCAACAAAATATTTGTAATGGTTTAAAAGTTCAGACCCATACTTATATGAACTTTGACCATCAGGTCAATGTCATAGTGACCTACTGACAGAACAATGCACATCATCAGGAATACTGCAATTTTCATCAACATGTTTGTAACAGTTTAACAGTTAGTTACATCCTGGACAAAAAATCATGGAATCGGAAAGAGCAAACTCAATTTTCGATTATAATCGATCATCAGCCAACCACTACTTAACATTGAAAAATATAGCATCCTCATTCAATCTGAAGTTCAGTTTTAAGAGACATTTTCATTTTTGGTTTAAGGCACAGAAATGTCTCATCACCCTGATAGAAGATTGTACTTGACAAAACTTCACAAACAAAATCTGAGAAATTGAGCTTGCAATGACATCAATTGTGTCTGCATGGTGTGATTAAAAAATCTCTTAAATCAATTTTGTGGTTGGCGATACACTCATTGAACTTCAACGCCAACCTAGACAAATGACATCTTTAAACATAATCAGCATCAAAAGAGTGCTTTATTTCATCCATCAAGTAAATACATTTGAATGACCTAGGTCCTTGATTTTTAAACGTGTCTGAAACAAGAATGGAAAATGGTAAAAAATACCAAGAAATTGCAGAATAATATGATTGCATAAGAACAAATTTGGCTAGCAAGTTCAGAACCAACTTAAATCAGTATTTTTATAATAGTATCAAGACTGCATTTAGCTTATTCAAAGATACCATGTGAAAGTAAATATATTAAACCCCAGTCCCGTCTGAACATTTTTTTCCCAGCCCCATCTGAACATTTAAACATTTTTTTCTGACTCAATAAAACATCTATACTAATATATAACTGAACATTGTACAGTTCCCTCTTAATTACCACTACAGTACTGTTAAGTTTTTAGCATCCATAAATATATTTGCCTCATTTATTTCAAACATATTAATATTTTACATACATGTATATGATAATGGAAAGAAGATCCGCTTGAAGAGTGTATATCATAGTAATCCATTATTATAACCGGCGTGTTGCGACACGTAAAGTGTGTAAACAGAGGAAGCCCTAAGGCCTTATATTGACAGGTGATCGAACAATATCATCGATCGTGGCGCTTCAGCCGAGGCGTGTTTAGCCCTCCGTAAACCAAATGTCGTAGTGATAAGACTTAAGTGGAAATTATACCGAGAAGATCTATAAATGCTGATTTGTAGTTAACACATTTACTCACACCAAAACGCAATCAGTTTGGAATGCCATACATGTATATAAATGCAAGTCGGTGGACAGAAAATAAACCATCAGAGCTGACCCGGTCAACGTCAAAACGTAACATAAATCTCAAGTCATTTAGAAAGATAAAACTCAATTTTCCGCCATTTTCTAACCTATGAACAATAGCTGTTATATTTTTGTTTTGTCAATAAGATTTGACAACTGACAACGCAAAGCGAGGACATAAACTATGACAGTCAGCAAAAACAAATCAAACAACTTGTCTATCTCACATCACAGCCATGGAAACGAACCATGCTCATCCGAGAACCATTCTTTTCCTTACCTGATAACATATAAATTCTAAAGATAATATCCCTGGAACATTATCCTTTGCTGCTAAGTTCGTACATAAATAGGTCACAAATGAATGGTGCCTAATAAGAAATCATAATAAACATGCCTCAACGAACACCAAACTCACCGCCATTTTGATGCCTTATGTACGCATGCCAGAAAGAATGTCTAAGGGCAGACAACTCGAACTTGGCATTATATTTAGGAGGCCGCCTCACAATATATTGTGATAGTGCATTTAGTGCAATAATACTACTTTTGAATGGAGCGGAATTATTATGTCTCATTTTTTTCCAAATGAAAACACGAAATACGCTTCTCATGAAATCAATCTTCTTTGTAAAACTAAAATAATCATTTTAGGCATATTTTAGTTCAGTCAGAGACATATATATATATATAAATATATATATATAAGCCATATAAAAATAGTATACGTCTCTGGTTCAGCCGACCTTACTTCAGTATACCAAAATAAACCTAAACATCCAACTTAATTGAATTTATCTTTGTTTTCAAGGTGATGATGTCTATATCATAGCAGAAAAAGTCGAACAAAATCAACATTATTTCATCCTCTTTGGTATCAAGAAAATAATGAAAATCCTTTTTGAGGTCAAATGTTTAGTGTAATCACCTCAGTCTTGTTTAATATTGAATATGGGGAATTTAAGTAGACCTACTATATCAGGACCAACTACGGAGTCAGTATTGTAGAATCATTTATTGATCTTTCTCTTGGAGTTTAACGTAAACTTTTGAATATTGAACTATTTATATATGCTTAAATTTTTGTCGTGTTCGAGTACATTGAATTTCTATTTTACAACAATAATGTAACATGTTGAATCAATTTATATTAATCACTCTTGTAAGCCTGAATGGAAGCCGACAGTGGGAGGAAACCGGAGTAAACGGAGAAAACCCACCCGGTCGGTCAGGTGACCCCACCATACATGTTCACTTCCGAATCGGGGAATCGAACCCCGGACGTCCAGTGGTGAAAGGCGAGGAATGCATTTTCCGTTGTGTTGGGTCAGTGCAGGTAGGACGTAAGAATTGTACCTGCTGCCCCAATTGCATGATCGTAAGAGGCGACTAAATTTGGGATCTTATCTTTTCTCTTCTTTCAAAACAACTTTCTTCTTCCTTACGTCTCCCTTGGCAATGCCTCACTTTTGGCCTTTAGTTGAGTGTTCGCCCGTGTGAGGAAGGTTTTGGGTTCTGTCCCCTGGCCGAGACCTACCAGAGTCTGTAAAAATGGTACGTAGTTTCTACTCCTAACGCTCAGCTATTTAGGAGTGGGACGACTGGTTCGCCCGTTGTCAGTATAATGTGACCGGGTGGAGCTCGAGTGTCCTACTGGGTGTCTTCGGCAGTATGTGTTTCAGCAGAGACGTATCTATATATTGTAATATATACGTCTCTGGTTTCAGTGAGGTTGCACTATAAAGTCGACATTAGTTCCGCACTATCACAAGGAGACAAACACGAACCTATCGCAGCCTCCCAAAACACACACGCATGGCATCTTGCACACAGGGAGGCCGTCCTTAAAGTGTACCCTGAACGAAAACATCCCTGATGATCCAAACACAAAAATATCGAAAACAGCATAAAAATCGGTGAATTGGACCCTATCGGCTGTGACATCACAAGTTTAACGCCTGTAGCGGTCACCATCGAAGGAATAGGCGATATCGAGAACAGCCATGGTCATACCACGGACTTAGATAATCAAATTCTATGGTCACACAGCGTCCGATTGCGAATTAATATTTTTTTTAGTTTTGAGGAATCAGATTATACTGAAGATAACATTATGTAGATGGTATCCAGTCATATAAAATTTGCCAGAATTTCCCGACAGTGAGTTTAAATTTTAAAACCAATCTGACGACTCTGAATAAGGTAACATCACGGAATTAGAATGTTAATGTTATCTAAGTCCGTGGTAACATAGACTGGTTGACTTGCATGTCCTGATTCTGAGCACTGATGAGATTTTTTCTCGAATGAACGAGTTTGAGGGAAATTAAACAGAAATAGTCTCAATGTTGTCGATCAAAGATATTTCTTAATTTTAGCTGGAAAGTCACTTTGCAATAATTTTCTTTACTCCACACAGAGACGTATATACTTTATATGTCTCTGCTCTACAGTGAGAACTTATCCAATCATGTCGTCATTGAACAGCACAACTTCGTGACCAGTTTCTGTGCCGGAATATTTATATTGCAAAGTTATTTACTGTGGTACCTCTACGGTCCAAAAATACGGAAATATATCAGTGAAAAATGTTTACAAAATAACTTCAACGTTGGTGTTCGCGAATTTATAATTGAATTATGAGATTCAAACATTTTTGTTTCTTCCTATACATGTAGTATACACAAGTTATAATTTAACATCTTGGTTAAATAATGAAAATCATCTCGATCCACTCCCATAGCATAATTAGGTGTGAAATTTGTGTACAGGTAAATACCACTAAACACCTGTGTCCAGTGCTGACAGCAGGGGGCCCAAGACACACCTATATACCTGTGTACAGGTATGACATCAAAGGTGTAAACTACATCACTCGACAGATGAAAGTCAGAAACGAGGCAAATACTGCTGGAGCATGCGTTGCACATTGTATCTCTGATCAGGTGGTTCATTGATAAATTACTCATCTTTGTGGGACTTCAACGGACAGGTTCTACAATATTCTTAGAAGTGGTGTGTATATTTATCATGTGCTAAATTCCTTGGATTGCATAGATAATAAAAACGTATTAAGTTTTATGACTGGGAGTCAAAAAAACCCACGGATTGCTGGTACTTATTTTGAGTATAAATTATTGTACTGGTGCATTTTTTTGCCAATTCCAATCGTATATCTACAGTGATCTACATATGACCATAGCTGTTGATGGACGTTAAACAATACTAAACCAAACCAATACATTGTGCTGCGTACGCGCACACGATCACCCATTCCATTTGTAAATATCGGATTGAGACTTATTTTTTTGCTGAAAATATGGTATGTGTATTCAAGTTTTATATGTAACGAACCTTTTTTCCCACAAACACACACACACACACACACACACACACAACTATAAACTTTCATATTTGACCGGCAGGACTGACTTGAAGCTCTTCTTCAGTCCAAATAGAAAAAATGTGTCCATTTTTACAAGTTGCATTTTTAGATAGTACAATAGTACAACTAAAGGCTTAAAAGCATTTTTTCTGTATGTAAACCACTGTAACAAGACACGCCATTTTTGACAAATGTTTCTCAGCTCTAATGTTAAAAACATCAGCATATGTAATTTGTGCATGTCAAAAGTCTCCGATTTAAACAAATAAATAGTTTTATGGGTTTTTTTGTCCGATAAAAAAAAAAAAATGTCAGAAGAACTGAATAATATTCAATTAATTAGAAGTTGAACCGTCAAACAGCATTTCAATTATATTGAAAAATCCATAACCATTCACTCTTTACTATTTTGAGGTTATAGACTATTTCTTTGTGAAATTAATCATAATGGTTTTAATTTCTGATAAATTATCATTTTATTATGAAACAATGTTCTCGTTAGTAAATATCACCGGCTCTACAGTACTGATGATATCTAAAAAAAAAAAGGAAATACAAAATCAAAAGACAAGATAAGCAATAGTTTACTTTAACTTACAACCATATGGCATTTCAAACGTAGGCTTGGCAAACCGATGGAGTTGCCTCCCTTCAATCATACAATATCCCCGTATTTAACTCTGGATTGGAAAATATGAAGATTTTTGAAACTTAACCCACAAATTGCGTAACTTTTATGAAAAATAATAAGATAGAAAAAAAGAAAAAAAACATTAGCATTATGCTACGAGGGAAATGCCACGGAACCAAACAGGGATTCGAACCTTGTACCATCGACCACAATACGGTCGTTCTAACTAAGCTACCAGTTCCACTTTAGTTTCTCTATGTATAACAAACTACAGTAGATCTCACCAGTGTTTTACATGCACTGAGACCGTGAAGGACCCTTAATTGTATAAATTTCAACAGTAAATTACAGTCATTAAAAGAGAGGGNTCAACATTGCTCCATGAATAAATGACAACTTGGCTTGCCATAGTTTACACTTTACGGAGTCTGATGGTCCGTTAAGCTAAAAGTATGTGAATAACTCTCATTTCTCATATAAGTGCGGTAGGGAGTTCAGCGTTTTTAGGTGGGGTCTACGATGGGCATTCGATTAATCTATATTTACTGAATCCTATGTCACCCTGATGCTTATTAGATTAAATCGGTATTTATCAAAGCGTAAAAGGATTTCTAGTCACACTTCCTATCGTTTATTTAGCAAGTGTTATTCCTAAAATCATTACAAAGAAAACGCCATGGGTCTGTGTATTTCAGTATGATAACAAGCAAACGGAATTTTATCGGTTAATTGTTTATGGAAAGTTTTCTTGATTTTAAGCTTTGTGAAAAGTGTTAAGGGTGCAATAATTCTCCTTTGCATAATACATTTACGTTTATTCATAATTGCAAAAGACGATGATCGATTGAAATAACTAAAACAGTCTCAATTCTAAAATCCTTAGAGAAACATTAATGTGTGTGCCTACTAGACCCGTGAGGAAATAAGGCGTTATATAGATTTAGTCCGAACTATCTCTATTTAATTAATATGTTCAATCGATAGAGTCGTCGTATGGACAATGCTTACATTTTCAATGTTATATGCAATAGATTGAATTCATACGTCATAGCATAACAATTAAACGACGAAACATAGCACGACAGCGTAGTTTAATGTCATTGTAAACAAAATGGAATGAAAAAGAAATGAAATAAAAATTTCGTAAAATCCCTTGTTATGTTATTTGTATTTTGTTTTCCACATGCAGCAAGTTTTCTGTCACAATGCCATGTGGGTATTTGTCAGTGATACTGCCTATTGGAGTGATTTTTCATTGTAAATTGTCTGATATCACGGTATCTAAATTAATCACATGGAATACATACGTTTCCGAAAATACATCACATAATTTAAAGATCGGACGAGATATTCAGACAAATCGATTTTGCGGCTTCTTTGTGTGTGTTGTCTTACCAAATAATGGCAGTGAAATTTATTTCCAAGAAAAAAGGATGGTCATATCCTGCAAATTATCCCTCAGATAATATGAAAATATGAAAATATAAAAATATTGTCATATGAGAAACTGGATAATTTTCTTTTCAGATTTTCGTAATAATTGGACATAGGAAATTTCAGTAAAATAAATTAAAAGGCATGAAAATTATAGATAATAGGAACAAATCGCGAATACTTTTATTACAGTTCTGTAAAGATTTTTGCATGCTTTCTAAATAGTTCATTACATATTCAAATTCACTAAAGCGCATTTATCCGTGACCAGCCTACGAGACTGAAGCTATTCGCGCGTGCATGACGTCAACCTCTCCCGAATATGCGAAAAGTGGCACAGGGACCGAGAAAAAAATATATTGAAAAGGCGTGTGTTTTTGGAAGAAGTAGATCGTGTCTGAGCAAGGAAAATACAACACGTGGATATAAAATAAGAACTTATCCATCTTTCCCGTGATACTAAAGAGCTATGACGGGTAACTATGCCTATTTCCCCAAAGCTGCGATCCGCTATTGCGCGCGCCAACCGTGCACTGTTACATGTATGACGCGTCCTCAGGTATTTGTATACCGGTAGCTCTATCGGAATCCCGTGTTTAAGAATAGATTATTGTGTGTAAACAGACGTAGGCCATCATGGCTATAAATACATGCGTTTCACGACAACAAAATGCTTATTTCGCGTTATACTGTATAAAACACAAGATCGTACAATAATTACCAAAAAGTTTGAAAAGATTTCATTTTTTTCATTACTACTGCCTACGTCATGCCGTTACTTGTGTTCTTAAAAAGCACACATCTTGATTTTGTTCTTCTTGACCTTTGAATGGTAAAATTATATATAGTTTTAGAAAAGCATGTCTTACACGTGTATTGCGCTCCTAACTTCGTGCTGCAGTCTTCCTGCATTTAAAACAAATGAGACTGTCCTCGACGATGAATTTTCCCGCATGTTCGGTAATATCTTTGTAGCTCATTTTTGCTGTGCCTTTTTATTTCTGATGCAACGATCCCATATATTTTGTATTTCTGTATCATTTGTTTGTGTTTAAATAATAAATAGAAATACTAGTGCCAAATTGGAGGGTAAAACAATTCATAAATATCATTTAAAATCAAAACAAAGCGTAGTTGTACTGTACACGCGTACAGGGGGATTTGTTTACATGATTCCGTAGAAGATGATAAATCAATAGGTATGTTATTAAAATATCAATAACATGTTCCATTGACTTAAAAAATATTTATCACTTAATTAAGGAAAATGATCTCATGCCTTAATAATTAAAAAAAAAAAAAAAAAAAAAAAGTTTCTGAACGTGGATTCGAACCTACACCGTTCATATCTTCTGGTCACACGCTAACTGCGTTACACATTAATAGACGAATGTGGAAATGCAAACTGTGTTAACCCAAGAAACATCTGTCGCAGTTTTGAGAAACTTGATCAACCCGGTTTTTCATTATTTTGAGCACTTTCCCAAAGGAGGATCACTTTTCCGTCAAACATTCGTATTCAATTGGTTTTATATCTATTCCATGCATTTTCCATACTAAAAATTGTGTACTCATCATTAAAAATAAATCCGTTTTCAAAAATGCCGACTTAGGAAAATACAGGCAGTTTTCCGCCATTGCTCAGCAGAAATGTGTTTTTTCTACATCGACAACATTTCACCTTTTTCTGATATACATACCATCATTGGGTGGGGTTGCAGGTTGAGGAAGGGGACAGGGACGGGGGAGACATTTTGTCAGGTGTTGATTTAAACTTGACACGTTTACTTTCTATACACCATAATAGTGTACGTACAGTTATGTAACAAATTATCAGGTCCCTGTGATTCTACCCTCTATGTATAGTGACTAATCCTATTCTTTATCTAGTCAATAATTACACTCCCTAACTATACAGCACATGCCGAGTGATGGATAAACAAAAGGTGGTGGAAAGGGGCGGGCCCCAACCTTCCCCTGGATCCAACCATGTTTTAATCTTATTAGTATTTGTTTTATTTTTATCTTTCTACAAGACGTGAATGCACACACAAAAAAAGAGAAAAAGAAACTGAAATACATGTAGGGCCTAATCGATTCAATCCTTTATAGCTAACCTGTCCTATACATTGCCGAGCCTAGATTACACCAAAGCGGTTCTAGATTTCACTTTTCCTGGGAGGCGTACCCGGTAACCGAACATACAGGGAGGAAAAGGTTAGGTAAAAAAAATGAAATGAAATATGGTTTAAACTAAATAGTTAGGTAAAAAAATGAAATAAAATATGGTTTAAACTAAATAGTTAGGTACGCAACATACAAATACATGTAGTATGTAAAAAGTATAGAGAAAATAGTTCAGTAAAGCATCAGACTTGGAACAAATGGTTTCGTAACGAAACAGATCTGGAGCAAATCCGGCACAATGATATGCAGGACAAAATCAATTACACGTAACACAAAATGTGCTGAAAATGAAAAGAGTAAATAGATAACATTAAATGAGTTTGACAACGAAACGATCATGGACGAAAAAGGTGTACCGTATCAGAAATATAAGTGCTCTTTAGAGGTGTTCTTCAAGTTGAGATCAATTGTATGAATACGATTAACATTTTCTTTTGCTTACGAAATTTTACAGAGTAACCCATGGAAAGCTTCTTCAAACTAAACCATAATATTGTTTTCTTTTCCTGCTCTTGGCAAAACGTTTTGCATCAACCGCATTTTATCCCGTTATCCCACAATTCAGCAGCATCTTCTTTGCCCGTTGATTAATGGAAACCTGCTCCGTAATTGGCAGCGCGTGCGGGGTGCGGCGTGGAGTTCTGTATATAATGATTATAAATAGCTTTGTTATCCCCGGCCATCCATCGATCACGGCTCATGTCAATAGGGGTCGCCATTTTGTCTTATAACCAGAAATGGAAATCTCTGCGGAGATGCTTAATTGTCGGATTCCGGGCTGTTTCGTTCCGCCGTTTAGATAACCGCACGCGACATCCGCCTGTCTTGTACATGACAAAAGGAATATTTCTTGATTCATCAGTTTCTCTGAGGAGTTCCGGTGTTTTGATAAGACTTATGGTTTGTGATATATTAATTAGCGAGGACTCCTTACCTATTTGTTATGTTGGATTTCGATTTCATTTACAAGATTTTTTTCATATATTTACAATTAACAACTTAATTTTAGTTCCATTCACAAAGTGTTCGCTTAATGTTTCATTTGCCTTGACGCTAAAATGTCTAACTCGATTATGTTTGCATCTTTATTGGAATAATGAATGATAAAGTCGGTAATTAATTTTAAAATATATTTTTTTGTAATTGTTTTATTTTTCANTATTCTTTTTCTGGATGTACTACTGTATTCAATGCATAGGTAAGTCTGGTTGTTGTGTCGGTGCGATAATATACACACACAAATAAATGTTCATTTTCTCCTACATCGTTTTGATAGTTTTTTTGTTCCAATCTCTAAAATTCAGGGATAGGATTGCTGCTGCTTAGTTAATTTCCTCCAAACATTCATGCAAATAAAAGATCCGTAGTTCCGTGTCTGGTAATCAGATTTGATATGTGTATTTGTTATTTTCTGGTCTTATGTCATACCTATGACTCGGTGTTGATAATCTCATTATCTCTTCAAAGTGACCGAAATTGGAGATGCATTTCACGTATTGAGCCTGTACCTGTCTGAAAAGGCATCACCTAATTATCAAATCAGCACAACACATCGTCATACTTCGGTGTTAATGATGAACAGGTGGGAACTGATCGGGTTCAGGTTCTGTACCCTGATGAATGTGGTATTGTCCAGGTGACGAAACACAAGGTGTATGTGTTATTGTTACTGAGCTACATACAAACCTTCCGTTGAATTCTCCTAATTTCTCAATTATTATTTCCCGTAGACTAATCGTGTTTGTGCTAACATGAAGTATAAGTATAATGACTGTTATACTAGTATATATAAATATCTAATTATCAGATTTGTACTAGACCCATTGAGTACCTAGTAAGTACTGAATACGTTGAAGATGGTAGTAAATAATGAATCAGTATTATTAGATTACTAGTATGCGACAACTTACCTTATAGAAGGTATTGATTTAAACATATATTTATTTGCATCTATTATACAAAAGGGATCGGCCACAAGTTGTCCAACTTTTTTAAAGCCTTTTTCGAATAGTAGGTATCGCTCGTAGCATGAGGAATATTGTTTGCAATTCGTTCACATTTATCAGTCTACTTATTTTTTAAGTTATTGTAAATATCAAGCGCAGCAAGTGTCCGGGAGTTTTCAATAGAAAAGTTCTTGTATATAAACGATTGTGAATAGTTTCCATACCAAATACAGATACGCCAATACCACAATGGCAAAAACTTATTGTGCTCATTGAGATACACAATAAAAACACCCGAACAAACAATAAATAAGTAAGTAAAACATAGGCTGTTTATATTTTTACAATTTACAATGAGGCACTTTTTAAATATAAGTTGTACTGCTTTCATCTTTATACTCTCCAACCCCAGCCCTACTCTACCCCAAAAGAAAAGGTATATTTTATATATTTAGCTGAGCTGTATCCAATACTTGTGACGTTTCAATGAAGTTTCCCGGAATATTGATAACAATAAGGCTATTGTTATCGATGACGTCATCAAGAACACAAGTCTATGACGTAATGTTATTATCCTTTCCCAGCAACAAATGTTGTGAAGTTGTTGTGCAACGTTGTTCAGCACAGTGGGTTTCCACGGATATGATTTTTGATGAAAATGTGAGAGGAACGTCGAGATGTCAAGCGAGGAGCCTGCAAGGAAGAAATTGAAAATGGAGCCTCATATAGGTGGGGACAATTGTCGATTACTGGAGGAATCGAGTCCACTGAAAGTTACACGGATATCTAACCATAGAGCCGTTTCAGGATCCGCAAGTGGAGACTCCAGAGAAAGAGGACACCATCAGGTAGCATTTGTCGGGAAGTACCAAACAGGTGAGGCGGCACACCATTCAGAAACATACGGGACTGTCCCACAAGGGTGTGAACTTGGAGATATTTGGGAACATAAATACCCCAAACCCCTTGGACAGCATACCAAAAAGCTTACACCAATCAAAACCGGAAATGCTCATTATGATATCATTATTTCAGATTTGAAATTGCTTGGGTACAATCCGATTCAGTTGGTAGCGAAGGGAAGATCAGGTTCAATAGTTCTCGCTCAGGACCTCAGCAAGAACAGCTTCTATGGAGAGCACGAATGTATCCCAGTGGCAATTAAATTAAACTCCGGGAAGATGTCTACAAGACAGGCCTCAGGTGCCGGCACGTTTACAGAAGAGATGGCGATTCTAAAAGACTTAGTTCACCCGTCCATTATTACTTGGGTTGAGAACATCAGCTACCAGGGGAGGATTGGAATGGTGACGGAATTCTGTGAAAATGGAAACTTAGACCAGCTTCTGCGTATAAAACAACCGCGGTTTTTAACTGAAAGGGTCGCAAGAAAGTACTTCCGGCAACTATTCGAGGGTATAGAATATCTTCACCATCAAGGAATAGCACACAGGGATATCTGCACTTCTAATATGCTTATTACAGAATACAACACAATCAAAATAATTGATTTCGGTCATGCCGTCCGGTTTATGACGGGCGATCCTCTGAGAAAAGATACTTGCGGATCAAATGGGTATCAGGCACCAGAGATAATTTCCAAAATTCCTTACAACCCACAGTTAACAGATTGTTGGTCATTCGGATGCCTTTTGTATGTAATGACGATTGGAAACTTTCCATTCGGACTAATTCGCTCTGAAATGTCGTCGAAGTTTTGCAAGAAGATTCCATTTCCGGACAAACGTGTGCAGCCATTGTCACCAGAACTCACGGAACTGATCAACGGCATGCTGATGTGCGTGCCCAAAATGCGCTTCTCGCTTCCCCAGATACGGTATTCTTCTTGGATGCAAGTGAATGACGAAGACAAAGTTCAGATAGGAAACTTCCATCTTATTCGACAGCCGCGAAAAATCAAAGAGGGTAACGAAGAAAAAGTCCTCAAAGCTCTTTATAAGATATGAGTCGGTGTTTGGACCACAATTTCCGCCTATCCCATGGAAATAGATTTTAAGTGGATCCAGCAAATAGGAAACAATGTATATACATTACCAGCTGATCTGATCATATATAAAAAGCTACTGTTTGTGTCAATGGAAATGGGTATTTGTCACTGTTTTCTTCCTGGTTTGTCTATCAGTAGCGTTTTCTTTACTGCTGACCCGATCGTTGTCAATACGCTACATAATCAATGTTAATTTTATTGCGCCTTTTAAGTCTTGAAATGTATTTGATAACCAATTACTGTGACACGTTTTATCATGCATGACATCAACATTCTTTGTTATTCTGTCGCTGCTGGAGTTCAAGATTTCTCATTTCTACTGAGAGTACATTGTTTTACAATTTGTATGTACATTTATGTTCACGACTTTTTATCCGATGAAGTTTCTATGATTCCAAAGCATAGACCATTATTATTGTTATCAAAATCTTACAAAATCTTTTTAATACCTAATTATTGTTATTCACTTTGATTACATGTTTAGATGCTAATAAAATCAACATTTTAGGTTTTTTAACTCGTACTACTAGCATTCCATCATCAAACCTTTAACTCCAGCAACTACGGAATTTGTTAAGAGTTCTTGTACTGTGCCTTGTTCGGCTTATTTTCCCTCGATATCATGCAATTTAATTAACCACATTATTTATGAGCTTGATTGTAATCCGTTATGTTCACTTGTTTAAGGTGATTAAAATGTGCTGTAATAAATGTGTATTTGCATGTGAAATGTTGTTCTTCTTATATATACGGAGGTTAATCAATGCCGATGGTTGTTCTGTCCTGAAGTACGTTTCTACTGCCCTACATAAGGACATTTCTTTTTATTTAGCTCAATCACACGTTCGATACAATTATTTAGTTAATGAAAAAGCCAGTTAATTACTAAAGAATATCTGTCTACAGGAGAGCTACACTGATCTGTATCTACAGGACGCTTGCCAATCTGGTGTAATTTACCTGCCGATACAACTTAAATAACATCCGGAAATGATGACCATAGTGTGAATTAATCTCCAGTGTTTTATTAGATTTAATTGATGAACGTATCAATGATGATTTTCTAAGAATCGTGAAATATATACGCGACCGCCTTGGGACAGATGCGTTTAACTACATGTATTATGTAATGATTGAAAAATAGCCGTTTATATAATAATTAGCGATCAAATATTTCAAGGGATTACAACAGCGAGTCCATGGACTGTTGTTCGTGTCTAAATAGTCTTTCTAGTCGTCGTTAAAAACTAATGACACCGTTTCTTAAAAGCATCCAAACCGACGGAGGATTCGTCTTAATGGATGTTGTGTCTCATAACTTATGTTTTGCTGTGACGGCGGCCATTTTCCATCGATCATCGACGAAAATACAAATCTAACGAAGCTAATGAAAGTGCTCAGATGACATGCGCAGTTCGTACGTCTGTCCGGGATTGTCTGGTAACGTGCTCATTAGTTTGTCATTTCCGTGCGATTTTCGTTTTTTATTTTGCCTCCCATCGATCCGTAATATACATCATGCAGATGCCCGAGTTATTTTTGCTCTAATTCGATAGAACCGGTAACATATATCACGTTTAAATGCCTGTGATGTATCCTTCCAGCATCACGATCAGTTCCTTCTAAGGTAACATCTGAGTAATTACTGACGTTTCTAATGTAAGACTTACAGGACTCAGAATATCGCCATTAAAATGAATTGGATAAAGCTCGTGTTTCATCTTGTTCCGGAACAGAATGTCAACTACTGGAACTGCATGGACAAAGTACATTAGGACTTTTAATACCAAACGTATATGTAAAAACGTTTTGTAGATATGCTGTACGTCATCAACCAACCTGGACCCGCTTGTATAACTTCCAAAGTATTGAGCTTTCCTTGAATCTGAGGATTTCCTAAAATTATTTGAAATTCCTCAAAATTGTTTGCAAAATCCTTCCTCAACTCAAAACTTCTCAGTTTTCTCCTCAACTCTTGAGATTTTCCTCAAATCCTGAGATTTTCCTCAAGTTCACTTGTATAAAAGTAAAATCTATAGTTTTCCTCAAATAAATCTGAGAATTTCCTCAAGTTTTTGAGGGAGCTACATAGCAACCTCAAATATGGCTACGTTAGCAAGAATTAGACGCCGAAGGAGACAAAAAAAGACGGAAACGAGTATTCTAACCGCGTGTAAACCTGGACGGAATGTCTAGAGAAGAAACGTTTTCCAGGTATCGGTTTTCTCACGAGACATTGTTTTTATATATATGTAAGAAGTATTTGAACATATCAACGTGTCTAAAAGCAACGCCCGATAATATGGTCTCGTGATATTGTACCGTCCGGCTATATTATGATCGCGTGATACATCACCCACACAGCAATATCTATGGTCATGGGATGTAGCACAGTCCGACAAGATGGTCACGTGATATTGTACCGTCCGACTATATGGACATGTGATATAGCACCGTTCAGCAATTAGTGGAATTACAAAATTCACAAAATATAATTATTCAGACGAACTGTATTCATTTTCATCATTTTTTTGAGGTCATTTAAATATTAATATGGGATCTAAATTTGGTTTTGATACTTGCCTGTGAAACAGAGAGGTGTCATAAAGACGGTTACCATTTTCGGCGTGTTCAAAAGTGCATTCGGGTTTGATTAAATGTTAGAGTCGGAGATTGAACCTAGGGTCGGTCGGGGTACCTGAAACATGTTTTTTTGGCCTTAGACATTATGCCGCGACTTAATACTAGTATCGCAACATAGGTTAGAGTTTATAAGGGACATGTAACTCTATATCACAACAAAGGTTCATACTGTAAATGTCACAAACAAATAATTAGTATACGTTTAAACTGAAACTATAGCAAGATGAACGTAACGCACACAGGTGGCAACAAAGATTAGGCGTTTATAGATTGTAACTATTTACACTCGACGTTTATATTTAAACTAACTAAACGTCATAGTATAAGAAAAACTTACAACACATAAACGGTCACTTAAGGTTTTTAGTTTAGTTTTAGTGTGAACTTAGGGTCACAATACTTTAACATAAAGTAAGTATCTTTTCGGCAACAGTGGCACCATGCTTCCATCGTGAGTTAGATAGGTTTACTTATTACATATGTTCACTTGTCATAGGATTTAGAGGTTGAAGTTCGTGTTACATGAATTGTCGTGTTATCCAGGGTTCAACTTAATCATGTTCGACCTGACTAGATACATTTTGTCCTGTTTGACCTGTAAATAGATGATAGCCAGGGACAGACACGTAATTACAGATCCGATATTTTGTCAACATTGACCCAACGCATACATATTTAGCACTACAAACGCCATTCTAATAAAGTTTTAATAAACTGTGATATTTGTGTTAAAAGTGGTCAATATTGTTATACGGTCGTCTAGTTCGTCGTCTAATAAAGCATCTATCTATTTTAACGCGTGTACAGTGTACAGGGAGGGAACATTTGGGTGGTATTCCGACGGTCTGTGTGTAGGATGCTATGTTATTTCTGGTTACAAACTCAATAAAACAGTACTATTGCTAGAAAATGTCTCCTTCACTATCATCAAAATGTAATTTGTATCATAAATCTGGTGATAAAGTCCAACTAATCACTTTGCTAACCTCCAAAGATCCAAAACAAATTGAAACATGTCAACATTGCTGATTATATACCATACGGGGCCACTCGGCATTCATTGACAGAAATTTGCCATTTTCTCTAGCTCCCTGACACCAAACCACATAATTAAGTTCCAATCTAATGAAACGTTATCATCGCCAATCCGATACGACTGACAGAAAAATCCCCCAAATTGCACACCAGAATGTGATCTCCTGGGCTGAAGAGTTCCAACAATGATGTATGCCGTGAACCTGATTAATCCCCGCGCTCTCAACCTGTAGTATCTCTTCTACTCCTTTATCAAAGGAGAAGAGGAGCAAAACAGCGCAAAGTGGGCGGAAATCTTTCGCGTCCGTTTTGTCGTGGTGGCTGGCTCTCGTCAAATAGGGCTGAATTCTCTCTCCGCTCACCATTTTTGCGGGATGATATTTGACAAGGCGATCCATCAACCATCTTTCCAAATGACACCTAACGACGTATTCGAGGGTTTCCAAGCGAGAACCTGCCACTGTAAACAGCGAAAGTGCACTACTGGCGACAGTTCCAGGGGTGGCCCCGAACGTGGAGCGCCACCTAACGAGGCGGTGTCAGATATGTCTCAATAAGCTTCATCTTCACATCCAACACGACGCTATGTCTGTGATGTGAAATAAACATTGGGATCCAAGATATATTGGCGTTATTCTAGATTTATTACTCCAGTGTTACATTGCTAAGCATTGCTCAGATATTACTTACCAATGTTTGAATAATAAATAAAAAAATAAATGGTTATAGCTACTGAATGGCTGAGAGACAATTATAGTGTGCTACCAACAAAGTATGAAATGTTATGCCGGAATCACCTGATTTTGCTGAAATATGTTGATTATCAAATTCTACACTTTGAGAAGATGTGAAGGTGGTGTGTCGCATTCCAAAACAAGTTCAATGTGATCTCAGCTTGACCTTGACCTCAAGTACTAACAGAATGGTTTCTGGAGCATATCTCAGCTAGTTTGTAATTCAATTCGTTTCTCTATAATTAAACATTTATAGACATTTGACGCGATGAATATGATGTGATATTAATCTATAAGGATGATATTGACCTTTTGTCCATATCACAGCATATTCATCACGTAATGAATCTCTAAAATGATGTATTATTTGAATGGAAGAACAAACTATACTAGATGCCAGACCATATCCTGCTGCCCAATTGGTGTATTGTAGCCAAACCTACCAGTCTACAGCTGTGACTGTGTGTTGTTTATAACATAGATACTATAGCTTCATTGAGTTAGAGGAGCCTTCTCCTGCTACTGCTCTCCTCCTTATGCACGTGCATTACATGTTATACTTGAATTTGTACAGAAATGAATGACAGTAGGAAGAAAGTTGAAACACAATAACATAATATGATATTCACAGGGCACCAGCTCCACTGCTCAGCGCGTGACATTTGATGCGGACGGCGCTATTTCTATGCCGGTATCATCACAAGCCGTTCATGTGGCGATGTACAGACCAAATTAATAGTTCTGGTGAAATCAATAAAACGATAATTATATTACCGTTTACAACTACTTGCTCCATTATTAAGTTATAAACCATTGTCTAGCTGATGACTTGAAGACAAAGACGAACAAACCAGACGACACATCATGTTAATTGTTGACAAATAACGGAACAGCGTTGTTCCCGTCATCCCTAATTAACACAATATTAGCACCACTAAAGATCAGTTAGCCCGCGTATCCCCGAGTCCTTACACCGTCTAATGGAGTGTCAATTCAATTCAATTCAAGTTTTATTCCGGGGGCCTTACATAGATATACATAAATACAATACATAATATTACATACATATTTGGAGAGTGATCTCTCATGACAAGCGTACAGAACACAGATTGGCCTTAATAACCCTGCGCTTAATGACGTCACAAAGCTTAGCGACGTCAGAAGTTTAAATTCCGATTGGATTCCTCAAATCCTATGTTTGGCAATGTAAAGTGTGTTGTTCTCTGTGCTGTTTACATCTATACTAAATGACAGATTAAATAAATTATCTGATCAAATAAATCCTAATCGTGGAAGCCAAACTGGCTTTA